AGCCGCCCACGCCAACAGAACAAGACCGGGTTGGGAATAGCAGAGCAGAAATGTTATTCATTGATCAGTGAATGGAGGAGGCAGAGCTCGTGCTCTGAAATCCCTTCTCCCTGAAAGGGAAGGTGAGCAGGGTTCTCACGGGGTGTGAAGGAGGAGGGGTCTCCGTGTCATCGCTCTGGGCCGGGACTCGTGTGGCATGCGCAGATCCTCCCTTCTTGCACACGGCACCTTTTGCACACATTTCCTTTTGCACATGGCACCCCATCGCCATTTTGGACCTTTCTGGTTTGGACTGGTTCTGCGGTTTGGCCATCTGGCGATATTCTGCCTTGGTTCCTCTACGCAAGCACAACTTAAAAACCAAGCATTAGACATGGAAAATGTTCTTAGGGACTTCTCTGGGTGACATATTTGCATTTTTAATTAATAAAATGGGGGGCCAGCCCTGTGGCCTAGTGGTTAAGTTCGCGCACTCTGCTTCAGCAGCCCAGGGTTTCACCGGTTCGGATCCTGGGCACGGACGTGGCACCACTCATCAGGCCACGTTGAGGCGGCGTCCCACATGCCACAACTAGAAGGATCCACACCTAAAATATACAACTATATACTGGGGGGATCTGGGGAGAAAAAAGCAGAAAAAAAAACCGATTGGCAACGGTTTTTAGCTCAGGTGCCAATCTTTAAAGATTTTATTTTTTTCCTTTTTCTCCCCAAAGTCCCCCAGTACATAGTTGTATGTTCTTCGTTGTGGGTCCTTCTGGTTGTGGCATGTGGGACGCTGCCTCAGCATGGTTTGATGAGCAGTGCCATGTCCGCGCCCAGGATTCAAACCAACGAAACACTGGGCCGCCTGCAGTGGAGCACGCGAACTTAACCACTCGGCCACGGGGCCAGCCCCAGGTGCCAATCTTTAAAAAAAAAAAAATTTAATAAAATGGATAGTCCATCTATGACCATATAGTCACGTATTTGCCATATCCAGGCTCTTCTGCCGTCTTCATGTGTAGAACTTTGCTTTCGAGTCTTTCTTTGGCTCTGTCCTAGCCCAACTCTCCTAGGAGTGATGCGGGGTCGGTGAGCCGAGGAGTTGAAAGAAAGATTTCTTAGACTCTCAAGATCTGGCAGTAGTGCTCTTTTATTTAGAGAATAGTGTAGCATGGGGACAGGACCCATGGGCAGTCAGAGCTTCTGCTGCCGCCGCTTCTGCTGCCCCCGCTGGCATGGGGACAGAGCCCATGGGCAGGCAGAGCTGTTGCTGCTGCCCCTGCTGGCATGGGGACAGGACCCATGGGCAGGCAGAGCTGGTGTGTGGGGACAGGACCCACGAGCAGTCAGAGCTCCTGCTGCTGCCCTGAGTTGTGGGTTAGGGCTAAATTTAAGGCATAGGTATATGATTCATCTCTTTACAAGACAAAGGAAAGAACATGAAAAAAAGTTAAAATGGTATCAGTGCAGGTGGGGTCTGGTCATTGGGTGATCCCATGACTTTTAGACAAGAATCAAATCGGATTAAGTAAAGGTTAGAAAGGTTAGACGCCACCATCCTAAACCAGTTACATGAGATTGCCAGACAGCAACCAACTTAAATTCTTGCCTTCCCCATTAAGAATTTCTAGGGATAAGGTCATCTCTCTTCTTCTTCCTGGTACAGAGAGGGAGGCACCTTTTACAGATAGAGATTTACCTTACAAATGTAAATGTGTCCCAACAAGGGCAAGTTCCATTCCCCAGAGCCTCCTTCCCTGTCCCAGTTTATTGAAAGCAATCAGCCCCAAACAATCCTGATGCCAAAGAGGCATATCCTGGGGTGGCCAATTTCAGGTCCCTACAAGGTCATCCCCCCTTCCTTCACAAACGCAAATGTCTCAAAAGGGCAAGCAAAATTCCAGTCCTCGGAGCCTGCTTCTCATCTGCAGTTTTAAAAGTAACCAGCCTAAAAGTCCTCATCAGGACCACCAGGAGCAAACCTTTAGTGTGACAAAGTCAGCTTCGTTGACCATTGCGATGCGGGAGAGCACCCAGCACAGGGCCTGTGGGCTGATGACCACACAAAGGGAGAGGCTATGGCAGGATTTGGGGGCAGGGTAGACTTAGGTGAAATGTAAACCAAGCAGTGTTTTGACAGGCTCGATGCAATGCAGAGCTGCAGGAGAGGGGTCAACCTCAGGTCTGGACAGCAAATTGGACCTGTTACCGAAACCAAAGTGGGTTCACCTCCTGGCGAGTTAAATCAGATTCTCCACCACAAGTAGTTGTCTCACAAAGTAAAGTATATTTGCAGCAAATAGGCCATGCGGAATCATTTCCAAATTCATGGCGTCTGTGCACAAAGGGAAGCAGGGACTTTTATTTGGGATGAGGAATGAAGATTCAAAAGGGAGAGGTGTGTATTCGCTTGCGCAGGCGCAGTTGGAAAACATGCTTCCACGTCCGCTGCAGGTGATGGTAATAAGGCCAAAGCTCCTCCTGGAGAGATCTTAGCGTTAAAAATGAGGCAAAGGTCCTAGGTGTCACTCTTTGGTGAGGCTTGGTCTGGTTCAGGCTGGTTGGTGATTGCATCTCCCGCATAACAAAAGGAAAAAACGATTTGGAAAAGCAGTTAAATTCTTTCAAACCCACCCTTGAGTTCCTTGGGGCAACTAGTTGGTGACAGACCCGCCCAGAGTCCTCTTCCTTTGGAAACTACAAAGTTAAGATAGGCCTGAGATGTTGAGTCCAGAAACTCCTTATTTGAGGCTGCTTCCCTGTGACAAGGTGACAGCTCCTCCAGGAATGTTTCATTCTTCCTAGTATGATTTCAAACAGCAAATTTCTGATAGTTTGTAATTTTAGGAAAAAAAATCTCAGTAAAAAAGTAACAGTCACTCAAAGAACATGGCTATTAGGACACTTTACAGCTGTAACATGACCTTGGGAGAAATAACGTTTCCTATTAACGCTACAGGCTCAACACAAAGATGACATAAAGGAAGCCATATTGAAGAAAAGAAACCATATTGTAACTTTGAATGACCTGTGATTAACTAACCCAGACATGCTCTGTAGGTTTTATGGCCTCTCCCAGCTGCTTTCAGTTGATAACTTTGCTCTTTTGAGTTCCTTAGGAATGTGATGACCGCCAGGCAGAGAGCCTACGCTGATAGCCATCATCAATGACAACTGAAAGAGCAGGGTATAGGCCTTGCTCCGCTCTCTGATGCATATCCAGTAAAACAAAAGACTATCTATCGGGAACTAAGACCAAATGTCTGCCCCACCCGGGAACTAAGACCAAATGTCTGCCCCACCCGTAGACCAGCTGCCTCTCTGACCTGGAGACCAGCCCCCTATACAACTCGCCTGTGGTCTTTGTTCTGTAAGATGGTTCATTCGGACATTAGTCGGCCATTTTCCCCCTTGCTAACAAGCTGTAACAAAGTCCTGTCTCTCTTACCACCTTTCCTCCTGACTATTGGCATGTCTTTTTTTTTTTTTTTTTTTTGAGGAAGATTAGCCCTGAGCTAACTACTGCCAATCCTCTTCTTTTTGCTGAGGAAGACTGGCCCCGAGCTAACATCCATGCCCATATTCCTCTACTTTATACGTGGGATGCCTACTACAGCATGGCGTGCCAAGCAGTGCCATGTCCGCACCCTGGATCCGAACTGGCAACCCCGGGCCGCCAAGAAGCAGAACGTGCGCACTTAAACACTGCGCTACTGGGCCTGCCCCTGGCATGTCTCACGGTGGGCAGATGACGCCCATTGGGCAGTAACGTTAACAACACAGTTGGCTTTATCCTCACCTGTCCCGATGCATGGACAGGCAGACTTTTACTTGCTCATTCCAATCTAATTTTTACTTTCTCAGCTAAAGTCCTCCAAAGGGAAATCCCAAACCAGAAGATTTAGTCATCTTTCTTTTTTACTTTCCCTAACTGAGTTTCTAAAACAGCCCAGCCCCACCCCCAATCAGTCAGTCTATTGCTGATAGCTTTGGGAAATGCACATCCTCCCTGCTCAGGGGTGAGTCCAAGCCTGCAGGCAGGGGGGCTGTCTGTTTCCTTCCCTGCGGTACCTTCGTGTCCTCAGAGATCAGAGGTAACTATCCCAAAGGAAGCGGCTTCTCGCCAGAGGTGGGGCTATGGAGAGCCCCTCCACCAGGGCACCTCCTCCATGCTGCCCTCCTGAAGGTGGCAGGAACCAGAATCACCACCACCCGCCAAGGGCAGAGGGTTAGGGGGCTGGGGCAGTCCTGTGCCCAACCAAGGCGGCTCCATTGCACGTAGATTGCTGAATCTCCCCTGGAGGTCCCAGCCCAAGGATCTGCAGAAGCTGGGCCTCCAGCTGGCCTCCTTCCTTCCCCCGAACCCCTCCCTGATGGGCCATGCCTAGCCTCCCTGCACTGGACAGTCTAATTTTAAATTCCGTAAACGGATGCACATCTCTTTATTTATCTATGTCAAGAGCTTGACTTGTGATAAGTCAGGCGCAAAACCAGATTATCTTGAAAGCATGAACCTTGGCAATTTGCCATAAAATGATTGCAATAAAAATCTTATTTGGAAGTGATTAGAGGTGTTTTAAGGTCATAATGTCTTTACAAATTGAGCCGGAAAGCAGCTTAGTTAGAAGGATCTTGTCCACTCCTCTCATCTCACACAGGAGAAACGATTTCAAACTCTGAGAGGTTAAGCAACCGGGCCAAGGTCACACAGCACCACCGCACAGTTAAGTCTTATACCTTGATTCCCCTGTGGGGCTGGGCGGATGAGGAGCCCTTTGCTCTCTGTGCAGAGATTTTTTAGGTTACTTCCCTAGTCCTGACAAGTAGCCCTGCTACCCATGGCTTTACATCTTAAATGATTAAATCCTGGTCCTTGTTTTGTTTTGTCTCCGGGAGGCCCTGAGCTTTCCAGATGATTGAGAAAACTGGCCTGTCTGGTCCAGGTCCTGCTGCCCCGCCCCTCTGGGCGGGTAAGCAGAGAACAGCTGACTCCCCAGTCTCGCTCATGTGACCACCACAGCTCCCTGTTCTACTCCCGTCCCAGGCCAGGCACTTTGAGGGGCTCCTTCTGTGAGAAGCATCAGGTAGGCACCCCAGCCCTGCCTGTCCACCGCTGGAACAGCTAGGTGGAGACCACACAGTCTCAGGCAGACAGACTTGGGCAGATCAGATGTCCGGCCTTCTGCGCTGGTCCAGGGCTCTTCAGGCAGCGGGGACGAAAGTGGCTGGCCTCAGACGTCTCACACCGTCCCTACTCGCCCTCCCCTCCCCTCACCCCCTACCTCCAGGAAGGCTGCCAGCCCCTTCCTTCCTCTGTTCTTTGAACTTCCTCTCCCTGCAGCTCCAGACCTTTTCCCCTTTCTCTCTGCTGACTTAGCAGCGTGCCAGGCAGGCATGGAGAGATTAATCAGTGACAGGAAGCTGCCTCTTTCAGAGTAGTGACCGGCTGTGGTCAGGAGAGTCTCTGCAACGCCAGCCCCAGGAGTCGGTCCTGCTTCCTGCCTGCTGCTCAGCCACCTGCTCCTGCCATGGGGTCACTTGGGGCCCTCCTCTTCCTGCTGGGGAGCCTGGGGGCTCTCGCTGACGTCTGCGGTGAGTAATCTGATCTACCCCGTACCTCTTTCCTCCTGGGTCCTTAGGAGGGAGAGCCATCTTGTCCAAGCCCCTCTTATATAGCTGGGGAAACTGAGGCTCAGACGGTGGGGGGGAAAGGTATGACTTATCTGCCCTTCTGAGCTCCCACAGCAGTTTGGGTGTAGCTGGACTTCAGCATTTAGTGCACTGTATTAAGTATATATCTGACTCCCCACAGGACACGATTGCCTCCGTTAATTCAGTCATTTGTACATTTATTCCTTCAACATACATCAACTGAGCCTTCTCGGTGCCAGGCACTGGGTTAGGCTTTGGGGAAAGAACAAAGAGCAAGACAGGTCCAGTCCCTGCCCTCCTAGAGCTTTCATTCTAGCGAAGGGGACAGACCACAGAAGTCAAAGACATGTCAGGGCTGTGTTTGGGGGCTGTGGTGAGTGCCAAGGAAGCCAGCCAGGCGCAGAGGGAGAGAGGTGGGGAAGGATTTCCAAGGACCAGGGGGCAACACGGGAACTGAGCCCTGAAGGAAGAAAAGCAGCTGACAAGGAAAGGAGTGGGGGACAGGCATGCCAGGCAGAGGGAGGTGAGTGTGCAGAGACCCTGGTGGGAGAGGAGTCCGAGAGGGACGGGGGTGTCCTGGCAAGGCATTTGCACTGTGTGTATTCCAAGCACAGGGGACTGGATGCCTGGCTCTGTGTCCCAGCGGCCTCTTGGGACCTGTCTGTGAGTCTGAGCCCACAGGCTTGGGGATACTTGTGCAGTGGAGCCAGGCAGAAAGCAAAAGGCAGGAAGGGAAGGCTCCCGGGGCCGCCCACATCTCTCCTTCTCTCTTCAAACCCTCAAACACTGCCCACAGCGTTAGGCTCTGCTTTCTCCACCAGGGTATCTCATGATCCTTGGAGAAACCAAGAGGCAGGTGCAGTCATGTCCAGGTGACACATGAAGAAGTCAAAGGTCGGAGGGCCCGGGTGACCTGTCCAAGGGTCTCCAGCTTTCCAAGGCTTTGCCAGATTCATTTCTCGGAGCTCCAGGCCAGGGTCTTCCCTGAGCACCAGAAGCCTCCAGCCTGTGTTCCACAAGTGCAACCAGACCCCTCAGCCCTGGGCCCTTGGTTCCTGTCCAGATAATCCCCGGGGGAGACCTAGGGTCCGGTCTTTACCCTCACTCGGCATGAAACTTTCAACACTTGGCCCAGAGGCCTGACCCCATAAGAGCCCTGGACTGGCTTTGGGGTGCAGTCTGCTGCTGCTGAGCCACTTTGTTCCTCCCATCCTCATTCCCTCACCTGTAAAATGGGCTAAAAATGCTCCCCTGGCTTCCTCCTTGGTGTGGTACAGGGGTCCCATGGCACCTGCTCTGCTAGCTTACAGCTCTCGGTGGCTGTGAAACTGACAGAGATGCCCCATGCGCGCTAGTGCAGGGTGGGCTCCTGGGCTTCCGAAGGTCAGTGCCAGTCCGTCCTCAGTTGGCAGAGCTGGGCAGTCCTGTTTGCAGGGCCCCGGTGGGGAGGAAGCTCCCCCAGGGCCACTTTCATTACCCTGAGTGAATCTGCCTGGCTTCTTCCTTCTAAGGAGCCTGAACTGTGGCTATCAGCCTCTCTTCACGGCTCCAGCTCCTCTTATCACTTCAAAAGCCAGGGCTGACTCACCGGCTGGAGGTCAGAGCCCAGGTAGGGGCAGGGCTCCATCATCCCTTTGAACAAAAGGGAGAGGGGAAGAGAGGTTTGGAAGGACAGATGTCCAGAGAGACAGGCTGAGAGATGTAGAGACTGAGACAGATCCAGAGAGAGAGAAAGAAATCACTATAGAAATGGAAGCCGTGGGCCCGGCCCGGTGGTGCAGTGGTTAAGTGCGCACATTCCGCTTCAGCAGCCCAGGCTTTGCTGGTTTGGATCCCGGGTGTGGACATGGCGCCGCTTGGCAAGCCATGCTGTGGCAGGCGTTCCACGTATAAAGTAGAGGAAGATGGGCACGAATGTTCACTCAGGGCCAGTCTTCCTCAGCAAAAGAAAGAGTAGGATTGGCAGCAGATGTTAGCTCAGGGCTAATCTTCCTCAAAAAAAAGGAAAGAAAGAAATGGAGGCCAAGACGCAGAAAAGCATTGGGAGAAAGGGAAAGAAAAGCAACTGACCCCCTCCCCCCCATCTGTCATAACAACAGACATCTGTGACTTTGGGGAAAACAGGCATAAGATGGTGGGATCTAAACTGGGAGAGAGGGGGCCGTGTGAGAGGAACCTTGGTCCTCATGCTGGAGGCCCAGGAGGTTGGTGAAATGCTCTGCATGCAGCTTTTTTTTGCTGGGTCCCCTGAAAGGGGCGGCTGGCCCAGCATCCAGGGACATGGCACAGCGGAGGCAGGTGGAGCCCTGCAGCAAGTGGGAGGCAGTAAACAGGGAAAAGTCTGAAGTACCTCCAAGGCCACCCCCTCAGCTCGCGCTCCTTCCCTAAGGGAGGAAGGCGCCAGTCAGCTGGAGCTGGGAAATATCCCCGAGGCTTCTGCTTCCCAGGTTTTTCTGCATTTTGGTTACAGAAGATCTGGTGAATCCCAAAGCACACAGGTAAATGGTTGCAAATGATGGTGGCTTTCTAACAATTTGCCTCACCACCCAGGTCCTCTTTGCCTAAACAGAGGTGGCCAGAAAAGTGTCATTTTGAGATCTGCCCAGAGGAAGTACACCAGGCAGCCCCAGTTAGCCTGTGGGCAGTCTATAGTGTTTTATTTTATTTTATTTTATTTTATTTTATTTGCTGAGGAAGATTCACCCTGAGCTAACACATGTTGCCAATCCTCCTCTACTTTACATGTGGGTCACCGCCACAGCATGGCTATCAAGTAGTGTAGGTCCGTGCTCAGGATCCAAACCCACGAACCCAGGCTGCCAAAGTAGAACGCACTGAACTTAACCACTATGCCACGGGGCCGGCCACAAGTAGTGTTTTAAAATTGGATGTGGAACATGTTCTGCATGTGGGTTGAAGTTTTTGTAAACAGGTAGAACATGCAGTCAGCAGAGCTCCAAAGAGCAGGGGCTTTGTAGGCAGGTCCATCCTTGGCTCTGCAGCCTCATGGAAGATATGACACAAGTTTGAACTTCTGTTTCCTCTTTTGTGCGAAGCAGTGATGACAGTATCTACATCAGAGGGCTGGCGGGAGGCCCAAGTGAGAATGGTGTGGTGCCCGGGAGACACCATCAGGCTTGGCCTCCAGTCTCTCTCTCACTCCTGATGTCAGAGTGGTTGCCTGGCACCAGGCAGGGATGACAGCCAGGTTTCCCCATACTAGTGGGGTGTGAGCTGGGTGGAGGTGAGTTGGGGATGTTTATTCCCTAGAGAATGCCCTGGGAAGGTAAAATCAGTTCCTTGCTGGTAGCCTGGCCCTGCGACCTCACTTGGCCTGTTCTCTTTCCTAAGAAATACCGCATGTGGACAGCCAGCTGGTAGAGAGGATGGGCCAGCACCTCTTGCCTTGGATGAATCAGATTTCCCAGGAGCAACTGAACCCCAGTATCTATGTGGGCCTGCGCCTCTCCAGTGTGCAGGCTGGGGACATGGAGGCCTTCTACCTTCACAGCCTCAAGCTCAAGTACCAGCAGAACATCCTGGGGTATTGCTGCTCTCTCTCTTCTCCTTTCCCCATGTCTTGCTCCACATCCTAAGAGACAAGAGACCTGCATTCTGGTTTGGGCCTTTACTGCTTTGTTGGGAGATCTTAGGCAAGTTTTAGCTCTTCTAGGCCTTTCTTCATCCGTAGAATGGGGTTGGTTTGACTAGGTTGGAGATGCCAGGACGAGGCTCTTGTGCTGCTACTGCACCCTCCTGTACCCGAGGCAGACATCACTAATCTATGACTTGTACTCTTCCACACTGAGCCCAGAGGCAGCATCTGAATATCTTTGCTTCTCTCCCGTGCCTGAGGCAGACATCACTAATCCATGACCGATACTCTTCCATACTGAGCCCACAGGCAGCATGTGACTCTGTGCTCCCTTTCCAGGGGGCATTAAAGGGACGCTTGTTCTGAGGTCCAGCATGGAAGTTTGAATGAAAGGTGAAGGATCAGGAGCAGCCATGGAGCATCTCCTGCTTGGACTCCCTCTTGAGAACGGATGCAGGGCAGGGAAAGGAAAGAAAGGAGAGAATGCATGGGTGAAGAGGGGAAGGCACAGGTCATTTGGATGCGAGATCCCTCAGAGTTTGTCCCTGAGTCTAATTTTTCATCTTTAGAAAACATGTGTGGTGTGTACCTCACAACTTACACAGCTGACTATATCTGCTTTTGGTGGTTTTACAGTTTCCAACGTTTCACACTTTTTCCACTTTGTGATGTTGTTTAGGGGTGCCCCAAGCCAGGCTTACTGGGGTGGCACTTTCTTATGGAAGTGCTGTTAATTGGTCTTATCCTAGGTGTACCAGCAGCGATGACTGCAAAACCAAGCCCCCCATGGGCCAGCTGGCCCTCTACATGCTCGCTCTCAGGGCCAACTGCGAGTTTGCCAGGGGCCACAAAGGGGACAGGCTGGTCTCACAGCTGAAGCGGTTCCTGGAGGACGAGAAGAAGGCCATTGGTGAGAGGACAGGGTGTGCTGGAGGGAGGGAGCTGCTGGAAGAGTGGATCAGACAACAGTCTCTGGTGAAGCATCTATGTTAGAACTTTGGGTTTTCTTCCCAGGCCTCTTTCCTGCCCTCTGTTCTGCCTGTCTTACTATCCACCTAAAGGCTTGGGCCTGTCCCAGCAGCCATCCTTGATCAAGCCTTTCCTGCACCCTGCATGCACTCCATCAGCAAGTCCTGCCGCTCAGCCACCAAGATTGACCTAACTATCTACCACTGGGACAACTTCACAGCCTCCTTGACACTCACTCCTCAGCCTCTCTCTGCTAACTTTCCTGCTTCCTGACTGGACCCAGTGCTCAACAGCTAGAACAAGCATTTTAAAAATAAAGTTGGTCTTGTCAACATGACTTATACCCTGCAGGAGCTGCTCACCACCGTGTTCACAGCCTTCAGGCCCAGCCTACTGCCCTTGTCTCCTCTCCAGGCTCAGCTCACCCACTCACCTGTCCCTCTGTGGGCTCCAACCACACTGGCCTTCTCTCAGCTCACAAACTGGGGTCTTTGTATCTATCTGGAAGGTTTTCCTCCCCTTCTAGCTCACTCCTGCTCCATCTTGAGCTCTCCCCTGCCTCACCTCCCCAGCATCACTTCCTTAGAGAATCCTGCCATGACTCTACAACTACTCAAAGACCTCTGTTGCGTGGCCCCCCGGACCTTGATCCGTATTTCATTTCTACTCATGAGCTTGTGAGCATGGGTTGTGTTATTGTCAGAGCCACTGGCTGCACTGTGTCTGGCCTCTCATCACTATTCCTACCTCCAAGCACAGCACCTGACACATGGTGGGCCCTCAGCAAGCATGGGTGGAGAGGATGAAGGAGTGAATGATCCCACAACCCAAAGGAAGGCGTCAGGAAGTGCAGGCAGCGGGGTCCTGTGCGCTGGCGGGGCTGGTTGCTGGGAGGGGGCAGAGGGGCAACCCTTCAGGCCCAGTGTAAAGCCCCTGCCCTGTGGTTTTCTCCCTTCCAGGCCACAATCACAAGGACTATCCCTATGTCAGCTACTACCAGTATGGCTTGAGCATCCTGGCCCTGTGCGTCCACCAGAAGCGGGTCCATGACAGCGTGGTGAAAAAGCTCCTATATGCCGTGGAACATGACCAGCATTTCTACCAGGGCACCCTCTCTGTAGGTGAGTGGGCCAGGCCCTGCCCAGGCCAGGCTGGCACTCCTCCAGCCCCAAGCCCCAAAGGAAGGCCTCCACCCCTGGCCCCAGGCTCACCTTTCTTTGGGACCCCTTCTTAGCAAGTCCCTTAGGAGTGAAATGGCGACAACTCGTGTGTTGTGCAGTGGCTGTGAGCCAAGGCTGGACTGGGGTCCCAAGCCCAGCTCCATTGCACCCTCATTGTAGGACACTCCGGGCAAGTCAGATAGCCTTTGCTGGTTCAGTTTCTCCTGTAAAATAAATTCCCAGCAGCATCTCGAGAAAGGATGCCATATAAGTAAAGGACTTAGCACAGTGCCTGGCATGGAGAAAGTTCTAGATGCGTGGCTCTGACCATATCATCAGATGAGCTGGTAAGCCTGAGACCTGGCTTCTGGATCTGCTTCCTCACCATGTGGACTTGGGTCTCCAGTGCCCTTTCTTGTCATTGTGATCCAAGGTCTCTTCTAGGCCTGGCTATGTTCTGTGAGTGAGTGCACGTGCCACGAATAGGGTGGGGGTAGGATGGAATAGGTTGGGGGAGGTAGATGCCCAGAGAGAGGAAGGCAGCAGATCCCCTGCCAGCAGGGAGCTTGTTCTGGCTCGGATGCTTGTAGAAAAACCACTGTAGACACATTAAATGACCTGAGGGTGGGGGAAGAGTAGTGGGGCCTTAAAAACCCCCAGGGCCCAGGCAGCTCCCTGGACCTATTAAATCAGACCATCTGGGAGTGGACCCAGGCATGTTCTGTTTAAAATGCCCCTGGTTAGAGGAAGATGGGCATGGATGTTAGCTCAGGACCAATCTTCCTCAGCAAAAAAAAAAAAAAAAAAAAAGGAGGATTGACAGCAGATGTTAGCTCAGAGCTAATCTTCCTCAAAAAAGAAATAAATAAAAAAATAAATAAAATGCCCCTGGTGATTCCAAAGTACAGGCAGGTTTGGGAATGAATGGTGTAGGAGAAAGTCATCTTGGGCCTCTAACCCCCAAGCGGTAGACAGGGGTAAGGTGACCAACCATTCCAGTGTGCCCAAGGACTGAGGGGTTTCTTGAGACAATGGGCTTTTAGTACCCAAACCGAGAAAGTTCTGGACAAACTGGGCTGAGCTGGTCCTCCTAGCTGGTGGAAACTTTCTAAAATGCTGATCTGACCATATTGCCCCCCTTCTTCAAGCCCTCTTGTGGCCGCCCATTGTCCCAAGGCCCTGGCTGGGCTGACCCCACTTGGCTCTGTCCCCTGCAGACACAGAGGCCATGGCAGGCTTGGCCTTCGCATGTCTGGAGCGTTCCAACCTGAACCCCAATCTGAGGAACAGAATCACCCTGGCTATCAGGACAGCGATAGGGAAGATCCTGAAGACCCAGACCTCAGAGGGGCACTTTGGGCATGTCTACAGCAGCCCTCTGGCACTGCAGGTGGGAAAGAGACCTTGGGGCCATGGTCCACCCTCGTGGTTGGCAGGAGGTGGGCTGGTCAGGGGCTGGAAAACTTGTCTCCTCCCCACCGGCTGACCCCACTCTGTCACTCTCTTCCTCACTCTGTCGCCAGTTCCTGATGACCTCTCCCATGCGCGACATGGAGCTGGGCACAGCGTGCCTCAAGGCGGGGGCTGCTCTGTTGGCCATTCTGAAGGATAGGGGCTTCCAGAATGTTCTCATGATTTCCACGCTGCTGCCTGTCCTGAACCACAAAAGCTATGTGGATCTCATCTCCCCAGACTGCCAGGCACCAAGAGGTGGGTGGCCCTTTCACAGAAGCCCAGCTCTTTTCAGTCTGAGGAGCGTGCACTGACGTCTGCATGTCTTCATGCGGGGAGGTTGCTTGGTCCTGAGTTGCTGAGTCAACAGGGGTTTGTAGGTGTGTGGGGGACACACTGGCAGCTAAGATGCAGTCGCGGCTTCTCAAAGGTCACAATGTGGAGAGGGAGATGCCAAATGGAGAGCTCTGGGCAGGCCATGAATCTCCAGCCCCTTGGGTGATACCCAGTACAGAAATCTTTGAATGAATTAATGAATTAATGGGGAGAGACATATTCTGGTTGGCTTGGAGACATCATAATGAGTCCCAATTAGCAGCTTGATTCAGGGCTTCATCTGAGAGAGGGACTTGAGCTGGTGAGTGGGATTTACCAGTGGAGAAGGGAGAAGGAAGGCAGAGCAGAGGAGGCAGCAAGAACAAAGGCACAGAGGTACAAAAGAGTGGAACTTGGGGGAAAGGTCTTACTAAAGAGGGGGGTCTGGGAGAATGAGCTGGAGTGGCAGACAGGAGGATGAAAAGGAGGGGAGACCCTCAGAGGTAACGAGGGAGTGATATGAACAAATGTATGTTCTAGAAAGAGCCCTCTGGGATGCTATGTGGCAGAAAGGTGGGAGGGGGGATAGTGGAGGCAGAGAAACCAGTGAGGGATGGCTGGGGAGCTGGGGGCTGAGGGATAGTAGAGGCTAGGACGGCAGCCAGGTTTCAGCTGCCCACGTGGTGGTGGTGTTGACTGAGATGGGACCATGGGGAAGGGGGAGGTCCCGATAGGCCACGGTGTCTTCGAGGGAAGAATGGAAGACTAACACCCAGCCCCGTGCCCTCATGCCAGCGGCCCCTTCCTCTCTCCTTGGCACAGTCGTGTTGGAACCAGCTATGGAGATTCCTTCACAGACTCAAAGCTCAGATGTCATCAGGGTCACATTGAAGGTCCCCAGTGTCTTGCCGCCGTACAGACACGTCATCTTTGTCCCTGCCGGCTCCTCCTTGGAAGATGTCCTGAAGAAGGCCCAGGAGCTCTGGGGATTCACGTGAGACCCCCTACCTCCCAGCCCTCACCCTACCTGACCCCACATCCCTGACATGGGAGGGACGGAGGATGGAGGAGAGAGTTCCCTTGGGAGAGGTGCCGCCCAGGCTCTGCTTCCTCCTTCTCCACTCCTGAGTCGCCCACGCTGTAGAGGAAACAGGCAGCTGTGGGCCAGCGTGGTTATTAGGAGAGGAGATTCTAGAAGCAACCCCTCACACTGGAATCCAGCTCTGCCACTCTCCACCTAGGAACCCAGAACCAGTTATTTACCCGAAACTCGAGGAGAACACCAGTGTGCTCCCCTCCTCACAGGGCCCATGCGCAGGGTCTGAGAATTAGTGCACAGAGGAGTGGCACATGCTTTTTAGATGTGTGGGGTCCCGCATGTAGTCACTGCTTGATACAGGTTAGCTTTCCTGAGAACAGCAATTTTTATTATCAAATGGTCTTGGGCTCATCCCTGTGATGACTTACACGGGGGGGAGCCCTCTGTAGAATGTGGGGCTTGGGCAACCTCCTTAAACCTGCTTCTCACCCTGAGACCTGACAAGTCTGAAGATGAGCATGTCCGGAGCCCTGCTCTATGCCCGGCCGTGTCAAGGCCCTAAATAAGATGGGTGTGATTCTCCTGTTACCAATGGGGAATCTGGCCCAGAGAAGTTGAGTGCCTTCCACCAAGTCACCCAGACCCCAGACTTCCCTTCTAGAAAGATATGTCTCAGTTTGAGAGGGCCCACAGCTGGCGCCTTGGGGGTCATCTGGGCCAGCGAATTTCAGGCCAGAGATATGCAAAGACCCTTTGAAAGGGCAAAAATTCTCCCAGACCCCAGGTTGCTATTTCTGTTATAATATGACTTAAATGTGTACTAACATGTTTGCTATGAAAAGTCCTTTCTCTTTCTGGCTCTAGACAGCTATGAATCCTAAACAACTTTGCAAATTAAATACTATAAAGAAATACTATAAAGAAAACTATCAAACTGATAACATTCAAATAGGACTCTCTGCTGAGGAGCAGGTGTGTGCTGCCAGGCGCCGCGTGAGCCCAATGCTCCCAGCATCCCCTGGATCTGAGCCACTGTCAAGTCTGTACGGGCAGCTGCAGCTCTGTGGGCTGGTCCCCGGGCCCGAACACTCCATTCACTGCTAAGCCCCCCTGGCTTCTCTTCCCGGTCGCCCGCAGCACATCCAGCAGTCCTGCTTGGGGCCGACACAGTCCCGCCGGCCTCACACACTGAGCATCCTTGCAGGCCTCAGTCTAGTGGACATCGATGTTGCCCAGAACCTGCTGGCATTCATGTTTGGATATTGTCATCCAAATGAAAATAATAGAACTTAACATTTTTGTTCAGAACTCCAGGATTTCTGAGAAGACATCAGGGCCACCAAGCCGAGAAATCATTCTCTTGTTAGTGGAGGTGGGGCCTGCACTGGGCTCAGAGGCCGGGCAGGAAGGGCACGTCTGAGGCATGTGAATGCACAGCAGAGACAGCTAGGCTGCAGAAATAGACAGACAGAGAGAAAGAGAGACACTGAGGAGAGAGAGAAACAGAGAGAGGCAGATGTGGAGAGAGGGGCCGGCCCGGTTGTGCAGTGGTTAAGTTTGCACATTCCACTTCTCGGCGGCCTGGGGTTCGCCAGTTCGGATCCTGGGTGCAGACATGGCACCACTTGGCAAGCCATGCTGTGGTAGGCATCCCACATATAAAGCAGAGGAAGATGGGCACAGATGTTAGCTCAAGGCCAGTCTTCCTCAGCAAAAAGAGGAGGATTAGCAGTAGTTAGCTCAGGGCTAATATTCCTCAAAAAAAAAAAAAAATACAGATGTGCAGAGAGAAGTGCTCTGAGCAGCCACGTGGCCCCACAGAGTTAGGGAATGACTGGGGACAAGGAACCTCTCCATGATATTCCCTAAAATAACACTTTCCCTTTGCCTAGCTCATCCTGGGTGGGTTTCTGTTTCTTAAAACTATAAAAATACTCCCTCTCTAAGACCAAAACCATTGGCAAGCCTTTTGGAGAGAGGAAGGACATGACCCCTGGAGTTTTAAGAGGATCCCTTTGGCAGTGGTGTCCAGACGGTTGGAAAAACACAAAGCCCGAGGCGAGGAGCTCAGGGAGGGGGGTGTGAGGAAGGAGTCTCTTGGTTGCAAAGGCCAGAACTCTAACTCCAGCCCCCTCTGGTAACGGGGAGCATAGGGTAGGTAGAACCAGAAGACTGAGCAACCCTCCACAAGAAGGGAGTGGCACTGAGCCACAGAAATTTCTGGCACCAGAGACTCAGTACCACCACCAGGTGTCTCTGTCTCTGTCTCCCACGTTCCTGCCTCTCTCTGGACGCTGGCTTCACCCTCTCTCACTGGGCATTGGCATCTTTTATGTGATGCTAGCAGTTCTGATTCTCACGCCCTGACAACATCAGCCCCTAGAGAGGGGGCACCTGCTGACTTGATAACGTAACAGGTGTCCCTTCCTACAGGCTGTGCTCATGGTCAATGCAGAGGCGATGATGTCCCCTGAGTGGGCAGCGTCAGTGGGGCTGGAGAGGAAGGGTGGAGGTGAGACCCATAGCAGGTGGCCTGGAAAGGGTTTGGCTAGCCCTCACCCTGAGGGTGAGGACAGGACTCTCCTGATGTGGCTAGTTCCACTTCTGCCCTTGGGTTGATGGGATCAAAAGTCACCTTTTCTCCCTCTTTGCCTGTCCCTTGGTAGGTATGGAACAAAGGCCACCTTGTCAGGCCCCTATCTGACCTCCGTGATGGGGAAAGAAGCCGGGGAACGTGAGTTCTGGCAACTCCTCCGAGCCCCCGACACCCGTCTGCTGCAGGGTGAGTCTGGTGGCTGGCCACCTCCAGCTGTGTCCACCACCCCAGCCCTGTCCCAGCAGCAAGGCTGCGTCAACTCAGCCCAGCTTTCCCCCAAAACCCTCCTGGGCCTCAGCTTCACATAATCACCGATGCTCCAGGTTGCATATAATTTATATAATGGAACTCTTAAGAATTTTATGTAAGTTATTGTGGCAACTCTAGGAAATCAGGCAAAGAAGAAGAAAATTAAAATCACCCATAATTCGCTACCCAGATATAACTTCTTTTAATTTGTGGTATATTTTCTTCCAGATAATTTTTTAAGTATGTAACTTTGTTTTTTCGTAAAAATGGAGCCATAATCTGTAGCAATGCCATCCAATAGAAGTAAAATGTGAGCCAGGTGTGTAATTCTAAATTTGGTAGTTGTGAGACTAATATGAATAATATATCTTTTTTTAATTGAGTTAATGATAGGTTATAATCTTGTGAAATTTCAGTTGTACATTAATGTTTGTCATTCGTGTTGTAGGTGCACCACTTCACCCTTTGTGCCCACCCCACACCCCACCTTTCCCCTGGTAGCCACTAATCTGTTCTCTTAGTCCACATTTTTAAATTCCTCATATGAGTGGAGTCATACAGAGATTGTCCTTCTCTAGCTGGCTTATTTCACTTAACATAATTCCCTCAAGGTCCATCCATGTTATTGCAAATGGAATGATTTTGTTCTGTTTTACAGCTGAGTAGTATTCCATTGTATATATATACCACATCTTCTTTATCCATTCATCTGTTGATGGGCACTTAGGTTGCTTCCATGTCTTGGCTATTGTAAATAATGCTGCAATGAACATTGGGGTACATAGGACTTTGGGGATTGCTGACTTCAAGCTCTTTGGATAGATACCCAGTAGTGGAATGGCTGGATCGTATGGTAGTTCTATTTTTAATTTTTTGAGGAATCTTCATACTGTTTTCCATAGTGGCTGCACCAGTTTGCATTCCCACCAGCAGTGTATGAGGGTTCCTTTTCTCTACAACCTCTCCAACATTTGTTACTATTAGTTTTAGATATTTTTGTCATTCTAATGGGTGTAAGGTGATATCTTAGTGTAGTTTTGATTTGCATTTCCCTGATGATCAGCGATGATGAGCATCTTTTCATGTGCCTAGTGGCCATCCATATATCTTCTTTGGAGAAATGTCTGTTCATGTCTCCAGCCCATTTTTTGATTGAGTTGTTTGATTTTTTGTTGTTGAGTTGTGAGAGTTCTTTATATATTATAGATATTAAGCCTTTGTCAGATATATGACTTGCAAATATTTTTTCCCAGTTAGTGGGTTGTTTTTTTGTTTCAATCCTGTTTTCATTTGCCTTGAAGAAGCTCTTTAGTCTGATGAAGTCCCATTTGTTTATTCTTTCTATTGTTTCCCTTCTCTGAGAAGGTATGGTGTCTGTAAAGATCCATTTAATACTGATGTCAAAGAGTGTACTGCCTATGTTTTCTTCTAGAAGCCTTATCGTTTCAGGTCTCACTTTTAGGTCTTTGATCCATTTTGAGTTTAATTTGATGAATGGTGAAAAAGAATGGTCAATTTTCATTCTTTTACATATGGCTTTCCAGTTTTCCCAGCACCATGTGTTGAAAAGACTTTCTTTTCTCCATTGTATGCCCTCAGCTCCTTTGTCGAAGATTGGCTGTCCATAGATGTGTGGTTTTATCTCTGGGCTTTCAATTCTGTTCCATTGATCTGTGCACCTGTTTTTGTACCAGTACCATGCTGTTTTGATTACTGTAGCTTTGTAGTATGTTTTGAAGTCAGGGATTGTGATGCCTCCCGTTTTGTTCTTTTTTCTCAGGATTACTTTAGCAATTCTGGGTCTTTTGTTGCCCCATATGAATTTTAGGATTCTTTGTTCTAATTCTGTAAAGAATGTCATTGGGATTCTGATTGTGATGGCATTGAATCTGTAGATTGCTTTAGGTAGAATGGACATTTTAACTATGTTTATTCTTCCAAACCATGTACATTGAATGTCTTTCCATCTCCTTATGTCATCATCCAATTCTCTCAGAAAGGCCTTGTAATTTTCATTATACAAGTCCTTCACTTCCTTAATTAAATTTACCCCAAGGTATTTTATTCTTTTTGTTGCAATTGTGAATGGCATTGTGTTCTTGAGTTCTTTTTCTGTTAGTTCGTTATTAGAACATAGAAATGCTACTGATTTATACAAATTGATTTTGTACCCTGCAACTTTCCTGTAGTTGTTGATTACTCCTAAGAGTTTTCCAATGGATTCTTTGGGGTTTTCTATATATAAGATCATGTCGTCTGCAAACAGCGAGAGTTTCACTTCTTCCCTCCCTATTTGGATTCCTTTTATTCCTTTTTCTTGCCTGATTGCTCTGGCCAGGACCTCCAGTACTATGTTAAATAAGAGTGGTGATAGAGGGCATCCTTGTCTCATTCCTGTTTTCAGGGGGATGGTGCTCAGATTTTGCCCATTGAGTATGATGTTGGCTGTGGGTTTGTCATATATGGCCTTTATTATGTTGAGGTAGTTCCCTTCTATGCCCATTTTGTTCAGAGTTTTTATCATAAATGGCTGTTGGATCTTGTCAAATGCTTTCTCTGCATCCATTGAGATGATAATGTGGTTTTTATTCCTCAGTTTGTTGATGTGGTGTATCACGTTGATTTATTTGAGGATGTTGAACCATCCCTGTGTCCCTGGTATGAATCCCACCTGATCATGATGTATGATCCTTTTGATGAATTGCTGAATTCTGGTTGCCAAAATTTTGTTTAGAATTTTTGCATCTATGTTCATCAGTGATATTGGCCTGTAGTTCTCTTTTTTTGTGGTGTCCTTGTCAGGCTTGGGTATCAGCGTGATGTTGGCCTCATAGAATGTGTTAGGAAGTGTTCCATCCTCCCTAATTTTTTCGAATAGCTTGAAAAGGATAGGTATTAAATCTTCTCTGAAAGTTTGGTACAATTCCCCAGGAAAGCCATCTGGTCCTGGGGTTTTATTCTTTGGGATATTTTTGATTGCTGTTTCAATCTCTTTCTTTGTGATTGGTCTGTTCAAATTATCTGCTTCTTCTTGAGTGAGCTTTGGGAGATTGTAGGAGTCCAAGAATTTATCCATTTCCTCTAGGTTATCCATTCTGTTGGCATATAGTTTTTTGTAGTATTCTCTTATAATCTGTTGTATTTCTGCAGAGTCTGTTGTTATTTCTCCTCTTTCATTTCTGATTTTGTTTATTTGAGCTTTCTCCCTTTTTTTCTTTGTAAGTCTGGCTAGGGGTTTGTCAATTTTATTTATCTTCTCAAAGAACCAGCTCTTTGTTTCATCGATCCTTTCTACTGCCTTTTTCGTTTCGATAGTATTTATTTCTGTTCTGATTTTTGTTATTTCTCTCCTTCTGCTGACTTTGGGCTTTATTTGTTCTTTTTTCTCTAGTTCAGTTAGGTGTAGTTTAAGATGGCTTATTTGGGATTTTTCTTGTTTGTTAAGATGTGCCTGTATTGCAATGAATTTTCCTCTTAATACAGCTTTTGCTGTATCCCATATGAGTTGGTATGGCATGTTATCATTTTCATTTGTTTCCGGGTATTTTTTGATTTCTTTAATTTCTTCAATGATCCATTGCTTGTTCAGTAGTGTGTTGTTTAGTCTCCACATCTTTGTGCCTTTCTCAGCTTTTTTCTTGTAATTAATTTCTAGGTTTATAGCATTATGATCGGAGAAGATGCTTGTTATTATTTCAATTTTTTTTAATTTGTAGAGGCTTGCCTTGTTTCCCAAAATATGGTCTATCCTTGAGAATGTTCCATGTGCACTTGAAAAGAATGTGTATTCTGCTGTATTAGGATGAAGTGATCTATATATGTCTCTTAAGTCCAATTAGTTTAGTTTTTCATTTAGCTCCACTATTTCCTTGTTGATTTTCTGTCTGGATGATCTGTCCATTGATGTGAGTGGGGTGTGGAGGTCCCCTACTATTATTGTGTTGTTTTTATATCTTCCTTTAGGTCTGTTAATAGTTGCTTTATGAATCTTGGTGCTCCTATGTTGGGTGCATAGATATTTATAAGCATTATTTTTTCTTGATGAAGTCTCCCTTTGATCATTATATATTGTCCCTCTGTGTCTCTCTTTACCTGTCTTATTTTGAAATCCACTTTGTCTGATATAAGAATTGCAACACTTGCCTCTTTTTGCTTGCTATTTGCTTAAGTATTGTCCTCCACCCCTTCACTCTGAACCTGTGTTTGTCTTTGGGGCTGAGGTGTGTTTCCTGGAGGCAACAAATTGTTGGATCTTGTTCTTTAATCCATTTTGCCACTCTGTGTCTTTTTATTGGAGAGTTCAATCCGTTCACATTGAGAGTGATTATTGATGCATGTGGACTTAATGCTGTCAATCTGTCGCTCATTATCTTGTTTTCCTGTGTTTCTTTTCCTGTGTGCTTTAGCCTACACATTTAATACTGCAATTTCTTATGCTGGGTTTCTTAGATTTTTCCTTATTTATGTTTTGTGGCTCTGTTCTGTTTTTTAGTTTAGTGGCTACCCTGAAGTTTGTATTTAGAATCTCGTATATAATATAGTCTATTCTCTGGTGGTCTCTTACTTACTTGGCCTAGACTGATTTAGACCCTTTGCTCTTCCCCTCCTAAATAATTATTTTCATTTCTTATTCCAACTTGTGTTATGAATTTGTAGTTAGAGTGATAAGATCGTCTTTGCTTTGGTAGTTTCCTTACCTTTATCCTAATGCTGTAGTTGAATATTTGCTATCCTGTCCTGGTTCCATCCATCTGTCTCCCTACTCTGTGGTTTGTGACCCCTTTCTCCCTTTTTTCTCTTTTCAGGTATGACAGCCTTCTTGAGGATTTCTTGTAGTGGAGGACTTTTAGTTACAAATTCCCTTAACTTTTGTTTGTCTGGAAAAGATTTAATTTCTCCCTCGTATCTGAAGGATATTCTTGCTGGATAGAGTATTCTTGGCTGAAGATTTTTATCTTTTGAATCTTTGAATATGTCACTCCATTCTCTCCTAGCTTGTAAGGTTTCTGTAGAGAAATCCACTGAGATTCTGATAGGAGTTCCTTTGTAGGTTATTTTCTTCTGTCTTGCTGCCCTGAGTATTCTTTCTTTGTCTTTCTTTTTTGCCATTTGTACTACTATGTGCCTTGCAGTAGGTCTCTTTACATTGACAAATCTAGGAGATCTGAAAGCTTCCTCTACACGCATTTCTCCGTCAATCCCTAGATTTGGGAAGTTCTCTTCTATAATTTCATTAAGTACACTTTCTGCTCCATTTTCCTTTTCCACGTTCTCGGGAATTCCTACGATCCTTAAGTTCTTTCTCCTCATTGAATCCACTATCTCTCGGAGATTTTCCTCATTTTTTAAAATTCTTAGTTCTCTTTCTTCCTCTTTCTGGAGCCATTCAGCCTGTCTATCTTCGATTATGTTAATTTGCTCTTCTATGGTGTCTACACGGGCATTCAGAGAATCTGTATTCTGTTTTATCTGGTCCACTGTGTTTTTCATCTCTAGTAATTCTGTTTGATTCTTCTTTATAATTTCAATCTCTTTTGTGAAGTAACTCCAGAACTCGTTGGCTTGTTTCTCTGTCTTTCTCTCTACCTCACTGAGTTTTTTGATTATAACTGCTCTGAACTCATTTTCACTTAGTTTACCTAATTCCAAGTCCTCAGGACTTAATTCTGTGTTTTTATTGTTTTCCTTCTGGTCTGGGGCTTTTATAAATTGCTGGATGGTAGAGGAGCGGTTTTTCCGCGTGGTGGTAGAATTCGGTTGCAGTTACAGCCTGTCGCCACTAGATGGGGGTCAAGAGCCGCATGTTCTGAGCTCTCCACCTTCGGGCAAGATGGCAGCGCCCGGTGGCTTTGCTGGGGGGAGGGGCAGTTTCTCTCGCGCGCCGATCTGGATTCGGATCAGCTCTGTTCTCTGGTCTCCCAGGGCCCTGGGTTTATGGGGTCCCCGTGCACCGAAGCTGTCCCTCGTCAGCGGGTTTCCACTGTACCAGCGGTGGGAGTCCTGGATGATCCCCCCATCACACGGCTCCTCCCCCGCGCCTTCCCGGACCTGCTAAGCGATCTTGGTCTCTAGGGGAGGGAGCGAAGTTCTCTCCTACCCCGTTCCAGCTCCTCTGAGGCCTGCTGCAAGGTCTCCGTCCTCCATCTTCTTGGTACTGTAGGTCTCTGACGTGTTGGCATTCGATTTATTATCTGAAATTCAGCTTTTCCAATCCTTTGTAGCGGTTTGGAGGGGAGAGAGTCCTGGGTCAGCTCACCCCACCATTTTGCTCCCTGAATAATATATCTTATTTAGCCCAGTATATCCAAAATATTATCATTCCAAGATGTAATCAGCGTAAAATTATCAATGACATACTTTGCATGTTTTTTTGGTACTAAGGTTTCAAGTGCTCAGTAGGTGCATGTGGCTAATGCTGGCATATTGGACAGCATAGTTCTATATACTGTTTTGCAACTTATTTTTTTCACTTTTAATGTATTGTAGACATCTTTCTATGTCAGTATATGTAGATCTCCCCCTTTCTTTGTACGCTAGTCCCCCCTTATCTGTGGGGATATGTTCCAAGACCCCCAGTGGAGGCCTGAAACCATGGATAGTACTGAACCCTATATGTACTATGGTTTCTCCTACACATACATACATACTCATGATAAAGTTTAATTTATAAACTAGGCACAGTAAGAGATTAACAACAATAAGTAACAATAAAATAGAACAATAACAATATACTGTAATAAAAGTTACCATAGATCTTAGCAACCTCAACATATGATTTTTTTTTCTTTCCTTATTAAGTCGAGAACTTTCACCTTTTCAATTAAAGGAAACTCTTTATGGCATCTCTTTGGCATATCCAAATTGCCAGGATCATTGCTCTTGCACTTTGGGGTCATTATTAAGTAAAATAAGGGTGACTTGAACACAAGCACTGTGATAACAAGACAGTCTATTTGATAACCGAGACAGCCCCTAAGTGACTAACAGGTGGGGAGTGTATACAGCATGGACACACTGCACAAAGGGATGAGTCACATCCCAGGAAGGATGGAGTGGGATGGTATGAGGTTTCATCACGCTACTCAGAACAGTGGGCAGTTTAAAACTTATGAATTGTTTATTTCTGGAATTTTCCATTTAATATTTTTGGACCATGGTTGATGTGAGTAACTGAAACAGTGGAAAGCAAAACCACAGAAAAGGGGTGGCTACTGTAATAGCCACATAGAATATATCACCCACTAGGGTGCTTTGGGTTGCAAGTAACAAGAAGCACAATGCAAACAAGCTTCCACAACATGACATCCATTGGCTTGTGCGACCAGAAGGAGTGAGGACTTCAGGACTAGTGTAACCTGGGCTCCAGCCCTGCTTCCCTGTGACTCCATACTCCTCTCTTTGTTGGCTTCCTCCTCCTTCTGTGTCTTTCCAGAGCTGCTCCCTTTTATGACTGAGGAAACTTTTCTCTGAATCCCTCAGCAAACAAAGGCGGAACTGGGACACGGGTGCATTCCTGGACCCATCCCTGTTGCTAGGAGATGGCCCAGGTTCTGTGCCCACCATTGGCTAAAGAGAAGGGATCACCAATTAGGACCCACTCCCGGGGCTGGTGCTACACACGGGGTGGCGAGTGGGATGCGTGGACTGCGGGTATCTACTCCTGCTGGACCATTAAGGTGTCTCCAGTTTTAACTCTTACTCTCCAAGCTGTCATAAGCATCTGTGCATCAGAGATGACCTCTTAAAGGTCACGTGTCCCTACTTCCACTACCTGGAACTTCCACTGGGCACTTACCATGTGCCAGGCGTTGGGCCAAGCGCTTTCCAGAAGGTGGGACTTTCTGAGGGAGCCCAGTAAAAAGCATTCTCTTTCCCTGCCTGGCTTCTGAACAAGTTGAAAAATTGAACAAAGGGGTGGCAGATGGAGACCCCAGATCCGGTCTCTATCACTGACAAAGGCTGGACTGGAGGATGAAGCCTAGGGGAAAAGCCGATGGACTTAGCATGAGGCAGGTGTGGGTGGCTGTGTCCTCTACCTCCCGCCCCTGGTCCAGCAGGAAGCCCACTCCCATGGGAGAAAAGGAAGGCCTGGTTGTTGATGTCGTTATGATCCGCATTTCAGAAATGGGAACAGCAGCACTTGCAGAGGTTAAATAACTTGTGCAAAGTCACACTGCTGGTGAGCGCAGAGCTGGGGCCGGAAGCCAGGTGTCCTGCTGGAGCCTAATCGGTGAAGGCTGGCTGCCAGGAGACTTCACTCGAGGTCCTGGTTGTCCTCCAGACCACACTGATCAAGTCTGTCTTCCCCATGGCCCCTTGAGGGACTGTGAAGACAGTGACCCTGCCCACCAAGTGTTGTGAGGGTCTCTGGTTCCTTTCGCCCGTGTTGGTTATCCAGCCTGCTGTCCCGTACCCCTCCCCTTCTGAGGGCTCCCCCACTACAAAATGCACCTGTAGGCCTCAGGGACCCTGAGGTCAGAGCCAAGTTCAGACTCTCCAGACTGGCTCTGGACAGCTGCCAGTGTCCCAGCACCAAGCACATCTTACAGACTCTGGCCTCAGGATAGGGGACCAGAAGATGAAGTTGGGGGTCAGGATACACTGCCTTGTTAACCCCCCGCTCGATCTGTTTCTGCAGGTATTGCTGAATACACACCCAAGGATGGAGAAACCATTGAGCTGAGGCTGGTGAGCTGGTAGCCTTCAGGCTCACCCACCCCAGCAGCCTTGCACACTCCCTGGGCAATCTGTAACAGGTATGCGCCTGATCCGGCTGCCACCTCATGTGCACTTGGAGCAATGACCCCCGGATGACCCTAGCCACCACCCCTGTGAAGGTCCTAAGCCACTGCCCACCCCGAAGCAGGGAGCCAAGCACTTTCCCTGGCAGGTCTGTCTGCCTGGGTCTGGCCCAGCCTGGCCCCGCGGGTGTCCCATGAAGGCCACTCATAGACTGAAGGGCATGAAGCCTCTCAGACTCCTCTGCACAGAGAGAGGAGGTCCACTGGCCGCTGGCCTTGTGAGGACCATCTGCTCTGGGATCGGGGTCCTACAAGGAGACTTCTGTGGCACAGGAGCTGTGGCGCTGACCCCAGCTCTCCACTCTGTTGTCAGGGCAGTGACCCCAGAGCTGGCTGTGGCATAATAGCTGGCGAGGACTCTGCAGGGCTGCTCAAAGCCCACCTTCCAAATGATTAAAGCGTTGATTGTGCACCTGCCCCAGTGTCCTGATGCCTCACACTCGTGAGCAAGTGCAGGGGCGGGAGCAAAGAAAGGGGAGATGCCTCCGGGGGGAGCAGAGGAGGGTGGGTGAGCATTCTCTCCTGGGTACTGGGGGAACGGCCAGCAGTGGCCAGGTTGATTACTGTTTGGGGAGCTTGGACTCGCTAGACACTTTCTCGCACAATTCTGAGGTTGCTGATATTTTCGTTTTCATCTCTGCTTTACAGATAAGGAAAGCGGTGCTCTAAGAGGGAAAGTGACTCCCCCACTTTCAGTGGGTTTCAGGCAGACAGATGCGGCTTAGGAGACAGATAAACCTGGCCTGGGGTGGCCTCCTGGCTCCCCCACTCAAATACCTAAAAGTAGGGGCTTCAATGATTGTTACGATTACGTGGCAGAGCCCACTCGACTGGAGGCCCAGGACCCTCAAGCTAGGGCTCTCCCCCTTGTCTTCCCCAATGCAGTGAGGGCAGCTCCCCAGGCCTCAGCAGCCATGGTGCTGGGACCCTGCCTCCCAAGGCTCTGGGCTGCCCTCTGGGAGGTGGGGTTCAGGCCAAGGAACCCAACCCCACGCCCCACCCCATCAAGCTTAGGAAGGGTGCCTGGAGGGGCGTGCTGAGAGACAGCACATCAAGTTTTACAGAGATGCACACAAGAGTCCTTGAAGCCACACATTAAACATATACCTCTTCCTGGAGCGCCAGTTACAAATATTTAGGGTCTGGACAGGTAGGGGAAGTAGGCAATTTAAAAATTGTTTCACACTGAAACAAACATGAAAGTATCAGAAAGTCAAATGAAAAAGCAGCCTCCATTTTGAAGGTGAAACGTCTATGCCCAGAACCCAGAGTGCTAGCTCTCTCATCCTTCCTTCATCACGGTCGGGGCACTCCCGGGAGGACTCAAGACCTGCTCCGGGACTCTCCCCTTCACTGTGTTGTCACTGAAGGGTGGAGACTCAGGTCACAGAGCCTGGAGGCGGCAAAGCCAAGATCTTCACCCATTGACCCAAGCCCTCAGGCAGTTGCCACTGCACAGACCTGCTGCCTCCCCAGCCCCTGAGACACCAGCTGAAGAAGCCACAGACCCCTCTCATATAGGGGAGATGTGGCTGTGGCAAGTCTCAGGCCAGGCAAGAAAGAGGGTGGATGGTAACCACGGGGAGGACCCCTGCACTGGGCTTTCAAGGGTCCATGGGCGGGATGTGAGCCTACCTCCAGAGGAACAGTCTTAGGGTGTATTTGGCTCTGAGGAGCCGGAAGATACTGAATCCTGCTCAAATCAAAGGATGTTTGCTGAAAAGACCCAGCGCACCAACTCGGGGGCAGCCAAGGGCAGTAGGGAAATGGAAGGTGGGGCTCAGGGCTCCGTCACCTCCACTACCCACCAGCCTTCTCTGCGTCTTCCTGCTTAGCTTCATCTGAGTGTGGACCTGCCAGTGACTCTGCCACTTTCCAGTTTGTGTCCCCAGCCCCCTCTTACTTTCTCAGCCTTTGTCCTAAAGTCTGGAGAGGGGTCTGACCAGCATAGCCCACCTATGCATGCTGGGTCTGGTGTCTAGTCTTGTGTAATCAGTAGGGGCCCTGAGAAGGGGTGTAGGACAGTCATGTCCAGTGCCGGGCCCCACAGTAAGAGTCTGGTAATCAGAGGCCCTCCCTTGGGGACTGGGGACCAGGTTTGTGTCTAGCCTGTGTTTAGATCTATGTGAGTCCAGACGAGCCACTTCCCCTCTCTCAGCCTGCTTCCAAACTCACAGCTATGGATGGTGCCTTGGGTTCCATCACATGTTCATGGCTGTGAGCTAGCTCATCATAGATCACAGATAGGGAAACTGAGGCCCCAGCAGCAAAGTGAGTTGTCTAGGGACATGCAGCAACAAGAGGAGAGGCCCATCCCACAGCTTCCGCAGCCCAGTTGCTGGAAATGGGTTCTCCCCTCCTGGTGCCTCCCAGGGCCCCCTCCCTGCATCAATTGCTTCCCTCAGCAGAGGCCTGAGTCCCTGAAGGGTAGCGCTCAGATCTGAGGGATTTGGGGAGCCTGTGGGCCAGGGCAGGCTGCTCTGGGCTTCTGGATGGAGCCAAGGAGCCCGCTGCTGCCCTCCATGAAGCTGGGCGCCCCGCCCTCCACTCTCCCTCAAGGGAATATCCTGTGGAGAGCCTTACTGCCTGAAGGTCAAGGCCAGTTAGAAACTGGCCCTCTGGAGCCAGATAAACCTGGTCCAAATCCCCTGCCACTCCTCAAGTCACACAACTCTGGGCACTTTGCTTCCTCCCCTGGCCGAGCTCTCTGTCGGCACCCACCTCCAGGGGTAACCGAGTAGAGTGGATGGGATGGAGCCCTCAGTCCCTGGCAGCCAGTGGTGTTAGGTCTTTCTGCACCCTGGCCCTTCTGGGTTCCTATCTGGGATCACCTGCTGGGTCACCTGCTTTGGGCTCCGCCCTCAGCCTGCCCTCCACCCCAGCCCTCTCCATCCCACCAAGGCCCACCCTGCCCTCATCCTGGTTAATCCGCATTCCTCATAGTCCACCCCTCACCAGGTGGGGCAGGTGGGAGCCGCTTTGTGACAGTCTTGGAAGAAGTGTAGACACATTTTCACTGCCCAATACTCCCCGCCAGCTTAGCTCTGAAAAGGTCAGGGTGTTTACTACATTTTAAAATTATTATTGTTTTTTTATTAAAGGGAACACTGGAAAACTGACAAAATCCCACAAAGAATATACCCTTAGGCGGCCCTGATTCCTCCTCTTCAGGAAACGCGGACGGAAGGGGGCTGTTCTCTTGGCTGGCTCAGTTTCCCTCCCCTAACCTCTCCTGGAGAAACTCTGTCTAAATACCCCCGTATTTTGGTCCTTGGCCTGGAAATCCCCTGCCATACAGTTTGGGTTTTGCAGCAGTGATATGCATGCTCCAGCGGGTGTCAGAATCACCAGAGACAAATGTAAAAATGCAGATTCCCGGGCCCACCGGAGCGCGTCTCATTCAGCGGGTCTCGGGTGAAGCTGGGAGTATTTCATCCGCGTGCAATGATTGTGGTGCGAGTTGGGAGGCACTTGCAGCCATTCCGTAGTTTGACCACCAGAGGGCGCCTCGAACAGGGCTAATTGGTCGCCCTTTGAGGTCTTCTTCCTCCAAACGGGTTGCTGTCATCAAGGACTTGTTGGTCAGACAACAGGCTAGGGGTGAGCCGTGCCCTAGTGGGCAGGAGCTTCCGCAGGGAAGAAAGCTCAACGTCAGGAAAGACGCTCGCAGCCGGCACTGAGCACCTGGCTGGGGTGGGCATTCTGCCTTGGTTCTTGCGCACTTGGACTCCAGAGCTAAGAAGCCAGGGCCCAGTTGGAATCCGGATCAGCCTGTCCTGCTCTGGAGCTCGTTGTTTACGCAAACCTGAGCTCAGAGAGCATCCTGTTGATCAGATGGGAAAGCCTAGACCCAGGCAAGGGCAAAGGCTTAGTGGCGGCTGCCTTACCTCCCAGCCCACGTAGGGCTCTTTGTCCTGCTAGGGCTGGGGACTGGGGTCAGAGGGTGGACCCTAGGAATTCCAGCTATGAGTCAGCTCTGAGTGCCCAGGGAATGGGACAGGGGCTGCTGGCCCGGGAGTGGATGTTGGTAGGCAGTACCCTGTTTCCGCAGCTGTGGGTGGCCCTGGTGATTCAGCTTCCCTCTGCCCGCCCAGAGGGGGCCCGCCCTGGGCTGGGAGAGGGGGGAGGTGCTGAGACTAGGGAGGGGCGATGGAGGGGCCTTTAAGCGACCCGGTAGTCCAACTCTTCTGGGTGCTGAGGTCTCACGGGATAACTGTGGCCAGAGACCAGGTGGTCCCGAGACTGGTCCTGGGTTGGGGGCTCCCAAGGGGCGAGGTCCTTGAAGATGGAGTGAGCCTCCTGTGAGGCTGGGAGTTTTCATTGGGCTCTCTCAGAAAGACACTCCAGAATCTCCCGCCCTGTGTTGGTCTCTATTCGGGGTTGGCCTTGGCGCTGGGTAGGGAGGGGCCTGATCCCCTGCTGGGGGAAGTGGGGGACAGAGAGGCTGACCACTCCAGCTAGGGGGGCTCTGCTGCTGGAGGGAAGGCTAAGCCGATGGAGGAGGGGCTGCGAGCGGGCGGCGTGGGGGCGGGGCGAGACATGCCTCCGGGCTCTGGGGGTGGGCGGGGCCTGGCCAGGGGCGGTGCCCGGGGCTCAGCCCAGCTTTCCGGGTGGGGCGCGGGCGGCGGCGGCGGAGGCGGGGCTGAGCGCGCGGGGCCTCGCCCGCCGGCCCGGCTCGGGCTGGAGCTGGGCGGGAGCAGCTGCCGGAGCCGCAGCGGCAGCCGGAGACGCAGCCTAAACCGCTGGGAGCTGGAGCCGGAGCCGGAGCGCAGGCCCTGCCGGAGCTGAGCCGAGCCGAGCCGAGCCGAGCTCGCCGCCTGATAGCGACTGCAGCGCGGGCCGATGTGTCATCCAGCCGCAGGGCCTGGGCACTGTCGGAGGAAGCGAGCCGCGACCGCCGGGCACCACTGGGCGCGGGAACCCGCATCGCCCCTGCCAGGTCTGGGCACGGCCTGAACACGCAGAAGGTCCGAAGAGAAAAAGGAAGGAGGATTCCATCTCAGCGCGGCGTGGGCACTGGGCAGTGAGAAGAGTGGAGATTTCACCTGGCACTGGGCAGAGGTGCCCGGAGCTTACTAGGCCAGGCTCGAGCATCAGAGCCTGGCATCCCCGCGGCCACGACCTGGGCTCTGCCCTGCTTGAGCCGGGAACCCAGTCAGCATAGCTCCTGGACCTCTGCTGGCACAGGCCTGGCACAAGAAGCAGTGCCCTCACCTGTCTGAGACCTGGCCAGGATCTGAGGGCCCAGGATCTGGCCTAGCCCAAACTGGGGCTCTCTGGTGGCCCAGAGCTGGTCACTGGAGGGCACACCTCCTGCCCCAGCCCCTCTGGTACGGATGTGCCGCTGCTGGCTGGAGCACCATGATGGCAGGATGACCTCAGCTGAGGCAGTGGCAGTGGCTGACAATGCTCGGGTGGCTGGTTCCCCCGAGTGGCCCCTTGATGCCCCCCAGGCCCTTGGGCAGCCTGGCCGGGCCCGGGTGGCCATGGCAGCACTAGTGTGGCTGCTGGCGGGAGCCAGCATGTCGAGCCTCAACAAGTGGATTTTCACAGTGCATGGCTTCGGGCAGCCCCTGCTGCTCTCGGCGCTGCACATGCTGGCGGCAGCATTGGCATGCCACTGGGGGGCACAGCGCCCCATGCCCGGCCGCACCCGCCGCCAAGTGCTGCTGCTCAGCCTCACCTTCGGCACCTCGATGGCCTGCGGCAATGTGGGCCTGAGCGCGGTGCCCCTGGACCTGGCACAGCTGGCCACCACCACCACGCCACTGATCACGCTGGCCCTGTCGGCGCTGCTGCTTGGCCGCCGCCATCACCCACTGCAGTTTGCCGCCATGGGCCCACTCTGCCTGGGGGCTGCCTGCAGCCTGGCTGGTGAGCTCCGGACACCCCCTGCTGGCTGTGGCTTCCTGCTGGCAGCCACCTGCCTCCGTGGCCTCAAGTCCATTCAGCAGAGTAAGTGCCCCAGTCGCTGGCTGAGGTGGGGATCGGGGTGGGTATGTGGCTGGATGGTCCTGTGAGGGGTATGGCTGTCATCCCATTTTACAGAAGAAGAAACGGAGGCTCATGGCTTTGGAAGAGGCAGAAACTGAGGCTCAGAAAGAGCCAGTAGGTCAGGGAGTTCCAGGCCCCAAACTTAGGCTCTAGAGGCCCAACCAATATTTAATAACAGTCGCCATTGATAGGTGTTGCATGTTTTGTCAAGCCCCTTATCTCACTGGATCTCCGTACTGCCCTGATCAAGGAAGTCACTATATTGTCCCCATCTGACAGGTAGAGGGGCTTGCCCTGGGTCATGTGGCCAGTGAGCAGCAGAGGCAAGATTTGAACCCAGGCAGTCAGACTCCATGCTGTCCAAGTGATGTGGCTTAAGGCTGTGGACCCAGAGGGAGGCCTGATAGCGGGGACCAGGGAGAGAGCAAGAGGGCAAGGCCTTGAGCTGGGATTTGGAAGCCCGGGAGTTTGGCTAAGTCTAGGAAGGGCTGATGTTTGCTAGGAGTTGCAGTGTAACAGGCCCTGTGCTAAGTGTTGACCTTGAGTCACCGTGGCAACCACCATCATCACCCCCATTTTACAGATGATGTAATTGAGGCCCAGAGGGGTTCGTGATTTGCCCAGGGTCACGTGGCTTCTGAGGACTGGAATCCTGGTCTCTGTGATTCTGGACCTTGGCTCTGATGAAAGGGGATGCGGGCTCTGGGCAGAGGGTGGGGTGGAGGTTCCAGGCCTGGATCCTGGTAAATTACTCTGCCTGAGGGTGGAGGCCACCTTCCTGCCTGTCCTACTGAGGCATCTGAGTCACAGTCCCCATCCCTGCCCTCTTAGCCTCAACCCAAGGTAGACGTGGGGGAGGCCAGGGTGCCCACTCGGGGTGGGGAGGCCTGGGTTTAAGCCACATCTTTGCTCATACTTGCTGGGTGACCTTGGGCAGGTCCAGGTCTTGTCTGGGCCTCAGTCTCCCCATCTGTTCAGTGGAGGAGGGTTGGAGCTGATGGAGTTCCAGGGACCTCTTGCTCTCCCTGCCTTCCAGCTCTGAGATCCTGTGACCCAGGCCTGGGAGAAGGAAGGTGCTCTCCAAGTGTGCCGGGCTGGGGTTGGGGCACCCTGCAGCCAGGGAAGGTTGAAGTCAGAGCTCAGCCCTGCCCTGGCCTCTTCAGAGCCAGGACCCAGAGGCCCTGTCCCCATCCTCCTGGGCCCTGTGGCAGGGCCAAAGCCCGGTTCTATTTTTGCCCTCAGGTTACATGAGAGCTAGAGCCTGAGCTTGGACCTGGGCTCTGGGCATGAGTTGGCAGCGGGAAACCTGACCTCACAGGCCCCCTGCCCCCCACCTCCCCTGGCAGGGCCACAGGGCTGGGAAGGGCCCAGCCTCAAGGCCCACACCATGCCTGCTGAGGCCCAGTGCTCCTCACCTAGGAGGAGCCCTGGCCTGCAGGACAACTGAGAGCAGCCAGGCTTCAGGCACACAGGCACGGAGCAGCAGGTGCCTGGCTTCAGGCTACGTCTTGACCTCTGCCAGCTCCCTCCTTCTCTCCCAAATGTCAACTGCCTGGCCCCTGAGGCATGTTGGGTGCTTGCTCCAGACTCCCACAGTGCCCTCTGCTTCCCCCAGCATGACTCCAAATGCCCTGTATTATGACCACTTGGTTCCCAGCAGACAGGAACTCTTAGAGGGCATGGACTGGCTTTGGGGTCTCTTCATGTCCCCAGCACCTGGCCTGGGACCTGGCACAGGGCAGTACTCCTTAAGTGGTGGATTTATTAATGGCTCTGACTGCAGGATTGGCAGGCTGATGAGGCTCCATGGCTCAGTGTACTAAGGAGGGAGCTTAGGAGGCTGGAGGCCCCACCAACAGAGATAGGAGCCTGGCAGAGGTGGGGAGGAGCAGACTGGAGCCAGGGGCTGAGATGGGTTTTGCATCTGAGGAGGTTTCCACTTCCACAGGTTCCAGGAAAGGCATCAGGGCCAGATTCAGACTAGAGTGTAAATGGCCAGCTCCTTTCCTGAGAGCAGACTCCATGGGATCAGGGGATGAGAATCCAGGAAGAGGAAGGCCCAGGCACCCAGGGCCAGCAGCTTCCTTCCTACCTGGGCCAATTGCAGGCCCAGGGGGTCTACGTGGGGAAAGAGGTGATGCCAGCTTGCTGAACTTGTCCTGAGCTGTACCCACCTGCATCAGGGAGCAGCCTGACCGATCCCTGTCCTCTGAGCTCTCAGGCTCGTGGGGAGATGCACTCAGAAGTAGAAATCACAATGGCTGGGGAGAAAGTCTAGAGCCAAAGTGGGCACAGGTACAGTTGGGGCGGATACTTCTTCCTGGGGAGCCCGGAGAAGGCTGCCTGGGGAGGAGGCACGCAGCATTGATAGTAATATAATCATAGTAGTGAACCCTTGCTGAGCCCTCACTGTGTGCCCACGCCGTGCCCAGCACTTCATAGACCAGAGCAGAAGGGCGTTCTGGGAGCAGGAAACAGGCCACGCCAGGGCACGGGGTGTCAGCCAGCAGGAGCAGAGTGGGAGGGATCGTGACAGCTGCCGTGGTGAGCAGTTACCACTGGGCACCAGGCCCTGTGCTCAGCACCTTACACACCCCTAAGGGGGGGTGTTGTCACCTTCCCATGCTACACACAAGGAGATAGGCATAGAGAAAGCGTGACTCGGCTGATATCACACAGCTAGTGAAGGAGTGAAGACGGGCTACACCAGTAGCCAGTGGAGCAGCGTCTAGAGAACATGTTTGTCTGTGTGTGACAGAAGCTTGGGTGTATTCAGATGCTGAAACGAAAATCTCTTTGGAGAAGGCAAGGTTGAAATGGAGGGTTTGGGGGGCTGGCAGAGGATGGGGTCGCTGAGGAGGCAGGATGACAGGCTGGCATTTTGGGGGCCCCGAGTGGGGGGCGTCTCCTCTGGCAGATCACTACCCTTTCTCTGGGCTGCAGGGAGGGGAGGCAGAGGGCTGGCTGGGATGCAGAACAGGCACAAGGGACTGGGTGGGCAGGTTAGGACCTTCCTGCCTGGCTGCCTCACAGAGGGTGAAATTCACCTGAAATCCTGAACCCCTTCCAGTGATCGGACACTTAACAGGCAGGCCACAGGCAGCTCGGAACAGCGCTAAATTTGGAGTGAATGAGCAGGAGGCATTCCAATTATCTGTTCATTTCTAGAAATGCTTGAGCTGGAGGGACTGTTGCCTAGAGAACAAAGCCAAATATCAGAATGAAATTGAGAGAAATATAAGATTCCCTGTTCTAAGCATAGCCTATGAGTAAGCACCTCTGTGGCTCTTTGGAAAATGTGTGTCAGAAAGCGCATAGCGGCTCAGGGAGCCCTGGGAGGGGGGCCTGGATCCATTACTCATCTCTCGCCACTAAAACTTGGAGAAGGCCCCAAACCGTCATTGTCCTCATGCAAATCTTGTCATTTCACCCGAGCTGTGTCTGACGTTGATGACGGGCACCACTTCCTTTGTGAACCTGCCTGGTGGTAACGTGTGTACACACATACATAGAGGCACACACTCACACATATGCAAGGCGTTAGGATCCTCTCTTTCCTTACGAAGCTAAAAGGTTTCCTCTTAGTCCTGGGTTCATCTCAACAAGCCCCGGTGCTGGTAGCAAAAGATGTTGATTATCAGTTATAAACAGGGAGTGACAGCCAATTGCAAACAATGACTTTCTTGTTGTTCCCTTGTCATCCCAATGGTCATAAGTGAATGAACATTTGACTCAAAGAATTTATTATTTTAAAACTCATTTTTTTTTTTTTCCAATGGAAAGCCCACGTAGCTAGTAAATGGCAGAGCTGGGACTTCTGTGGCCTGCCCCCTCTATGGTGGGGTAATGGGTGTGATGAGGGCTGAGGCCAGGGCAGGTGGGTGGGGGCCACTTGGTGCAGAACCTTCAAAGCCGGTTAAGAACCTGGAATATTTTTCTCCAGAGCCTGGGGCGCCCCCAAAGATTATATTTCTGAGCCACATTTCATGTTTTCTGATCATGTGGATATCACAAGCAGAGTATTGTTTCAGCCTGTGGAAGGTGTTTTGAAGTGGGTGATAACAGGCTTATTTATTTTGTCTTTTTATATTGACTGAGCACTTACCTTATAAAGGCTTTATGTACGTTATCTATTTTAATCTTTACAACAACCCTCCGTATTATGTTTTATTACCACCCAACTTTGCAGGTGAGGAAAGCTAGACCTGCACAGGTTAAGTGCCAGGTCACGGCTAGTAAGGAGGGGACACAGGTCACAATCCAGGCAGTCTGACTGGATTCTGGATTGTCACGCTACACAGGGGGAGCCACTAACTCTCCCCAAGGGGTTGGGGCAGACTTCCTGGAGGTCATCCTGGGTCGGCTGAGTGGGGGTTGTCTCCCCACTGGGTGCTGATGGCCACTGTCCTGGTTACAGGTGCCCTGCTGCAAGAGGAGAGGCTGGACGCGGTGACCCTGTTGTACGCCACCTCGCTGCCCAGCTTCTGCCTGCTGGCGGGTGCGGCCCTTGTGCTGGAGGCTGGTGTGGCACCGCCACCCGCTCCCACTGACTCCCGCCTCTGGGCCTGCATCCTGCTCAGCTGCCTCCTGTCTGTGCTCTACAACCTGGCCAGCTTCTCCCTGCTGGCTCTCACCTCTGCCCTCACTGTTCACGTCCTGGGCAACCTCACTGTTGTGGGCAACCTCGTCCTGTCCCGGCTCCTGTTTGGCAGCCGCCTCAGCACCCTCAGCTACGTGGGCATTGCACTCACTCTTTCAGGAATGTTCCTTTACCACAACTGCGAGTTCGTGGCCTCCTGGGCTGTCCGCCGGGGCTTCTGGAGGAGGGACCAACCTGGCAAGGGTCTTTGAGACCTGGGGGAGGGCAGGAGCCTCCTGGGGCAGCCCCAGCCTGAATCCAGCCTCGGCCAGTGGCCATGGGAAAAATGGAGAGCAGGTAGCTGCTGGGGCCAGCGAGGGAGAGGGGCCTTCTGGAAGGGCCACCTTGGAAGCTGGAATGGGACTCCCAGAGAGACCCACCTCCTGTCCCTGCCCTGTCTCTCCTTATCACAGACCCTACTCACCACTGGATGGTGGGTCCAAGCCTGGCACAGTCACTGTGCTTGTCGGAGTAATTATTATGATTACTATCAACTACTACACTGAAAATTGCCGGCCAAACTTTGGAAACCTCACCGTGTTCTGATGGCGACAACGATGATTCTTGGCGGTTGCACAATCCTTCCTCCAGGAAGTGGGGGAGGCAGCTAGGGGGCCCAGGGAAGGGCTTCTTTGCTTCTGGGTTCCCTCCCGGGAATTGGGGTCATCTGGGCCAACTCCAGGCAGCTGCTGTGACCTAACCCCTGGGCCCCCCAATTTTGGGTCTTCCGTCCTCAAATAAACTATTTTTGCTTGTATACTTGTGTCATTCCTCGGGGTTCCAGCCAAGGAAATACAGGGCGAGCAGTGGACCCACTGGCTGCTGGCCACCCACACAGAAACGAGGACCATCCTCCCTTACCCACTGTGGCTTGTCCAGGTCCCCAACCTAGCCCCATTCTCTGAAGTCTCTCCACTGGCCAGGCCACCTTTGCCCATCTTTTGAATGGCAGCAATGGCTTCCTCTCTACTCTGCTCTGGCCCCACTCTATCTTCCTTTGCAGCCCTATGTGTTTCCAAAACACATACCTTCTGTGGCTCCCTGCTGCTTTCCTGCCCCAGACCACAAGGCCCTCAGGATCTGGCCCCTCTGGTCTCACCAGGCTCCCTGTCTCAATTCTCCCTTGGGCTCCACCTTCTAGCCTCACCTACTTCCTTCAGGTCCCCCATGATACCATGCCTGCTCACCGGAGCCTTTCCACATGCTGTTCTCTCTGTCTAGTTTCTTCTTCCTATATGTCCTCCCTTCTCATGACTAAACCCATGCCTGGGAGAGAAAACGCAAACGTGCAGCTTTCCTTTAAAAGAAAAACCAAAAAAGGAAGGCTGATGAAGGAAGAAGCTTGACAAGGTCTGTGCTCAGGGCTGTGGGTACAGAGGACAAGGAATTGGGTGGGACTCAGCAGGGAGGGCCAGGAGGGCTGGCCCGGGGGCTTTGCAGGGGGGCAGGGCTGCCATGTCGAGAACCTAGGACTGTAGTCCTGACCCCTAGAATTCACCCAGAGCTGCCCTGACGGGCTGGCCGGACTCAGCCTCATCACTTCTCTCTCATCCTTTCCTTGGCTCTCTGTGCTTAACTCCCCCCACCCAGCTGCCTCCTCTAGAGGCCGCCTGTTGAAAACCCTAAGGACCCTGCCTGGATTAGGAAGACCTGGGACCTAATCCTGCTCTGCCTGCCTCACTGTGTACCTTGGGTAGGTAGCATCCCCTCTCTGAGCCTCAGTTTCCATATCTGCAGATTGGCAGACGACCCATGTGGCGAGGATTCCACTCAGAAGTCTGGTAGGCAGGGCCAAGGGAGAAGAGGGGGTGATGGCGCCAGCTGGTTTGGTCTCTTTCCGGGGCTAGTCATGTCATCCACTCTGACATGTCACTCCATGTCACTCTGGCTAGTCTGACATCCACTCTGAGGCTCCAGGCTCATCTGGAAAATGGGGACAGTCTCCCCTTTCTGTGTGAGGATGGTGCCAGACCAGGCTGGGGCTGGGATCTACAGGGCCTGGGACTCGGAGGAATCACTCATTCCTTCACGTAGCCAGAAGTCATGGAGGACTGTGGTGCCAGCCAGCGCTAGACAGGCTGCATGAAGGGTCAGCCCAAGGCTGAGGGTGGGGGCAACGAGGGCCTGAGAGGCCCCAGCCGTGGGGAGGACAGGCGCAGGGTTTCCTGGCCTTGGTTTCCACCCAGGCTGGCCTTGAGGAAAGGAAGTGGGCCCAGGCTGAGTCACTTGCTGCCCACCCTCCCTGTGACTCAGAGATGCCGCTGGCCCAGCCCCATCCCTGTGCAGCCTGGGTACCTCCAGGCTCCACCCTGAGGCTTGGCCAGACAGGACAGAGGATAGATGGCTTTGGGGGGGCAGAGCCTCTTTGGTACCCAGGAACCCTTCCCATTCGAGGGGGCCACTGCCATGGTAGGAGCCTCCCGGCTGTACTCTAGCCCTGGCTCCTAGGTCTCGTGTGATGTTTGGCTTAAGAGTGAGCTTCCTGTCAGAGCAAAGCCAGCCCCCACGCCGGTGGTCGTGGGGGTGGGCAGGAGGAAATTGGAGCTGTGCCTGACCTAGGGGCTGGCTTGTCACCAGACTCAGGACTGTCCAGCATTGAGGTGATTCCCCCCAGGTCACAGTTAAAGCCCCCCCAGCACTCCTCCCAGCAGCGTGCACCAGTTGCCCTGGACTGGGAGTCAGAAAGCCTGCCTCCCTTTCTCACAGTGTGACCTGTCTGGTCTCTCCCTGCTTCACACTGTCGTTGGGCGTGAGGGCTACAGGGATACTTACAGGAAGGGCTTAGCGGGTGATCCCCATTGATGGGCCACTGTCCCTCTGGGCTCTGCCTCTTACTAGTTCTGTTGCCTCAGGCAAGTCACTTCACCTCTCCCAGCCTCAATCTCTGTACCCAGTCCCTACTGGGAAGCCTTCTCCAGATGTCACCTTCCTTGGGAAGCTCTTCCCCACTCCCACCCCCACCTCTGCCCCGCCCCACACCAAGCTGAGTTGAGAGCTGCGCCCAAAGGCCAACCTAGCTCCCTGCCCTTCTCCAGGCAGGACCCTGAGCACATCCCACTCTCAGAACTGGTTTATCACCTCCCTTCTCCACTGGACCAGGCTCTGGGAGGACTGAGATGACTGTCCTGCTCCCCGCTGTCTCCCCAGCACCGGCACAGTGCCTGCCATGGAAGGAGTAGGCAGAAGAGACTAGTCAAGAACAGAGGTCGGACCTGGGTTCAAATCTTAGTCTGGCATGTCTAAGCTGTGTGACCCTGGGCAAGGGCCTTCCCCTCCTGTGCCTCTGTGTGGGAAGTGGAAGCAGCAGTAGAACCTAACTCTGACTAGCTCCAGGAGGGTGTGATGGGCTAAAGCATGGCAAGTGCTTAGCAATTGTGCCTGAAAACTAACAGGTCCTTAAGAAGTGCTACCCGCCTTCCCTCAGCCTCCCCTGAACATCGAGAGCCCCCAGGGCATGCTCTTGTGGTAATAGAGCAGGACGGATGCCCCAGCACCCACCCCCTTGCCCTGCTTTGGAGGAAGCTGGGGAAGCTGGGTCTGTGCTGGGCATCCTGCCATTGTGGATTCAGAACAAAGCTGATGCCTTGTCTCAGCCCCAGCTGCCAGGGGGCCCCTCCCTCCCTCCCCAGGGGGCCTTTGGATTGTCATTCCAGGGGGCCAGGGCAAACAAGGACTCTTCTTGCTCTCTACTCTGCTCCCAAATCAGCTCTGGGATGCCAGAAACTCAACCATCACACTGTTCCTGCTCAGTTGCAAATACTTCCTGGAAATAACACAAAATACAATAGAGAACCATGGAAGGTTTTGAGCAGGCAAGGGCCATGATATTCAACAAATATTTCTTGATAACGAACCTTCATTTTGGTCTGGATCCTGTGTAGAGGGGAAGGTGAAGAGGCTTGAGACAGGAGGCAAGGAGACCAGGGAAGAGCTATCGTTGTGGTCCAGGGGAACAGATGACAGTGGGGACAGTATCTTGAGCACGGTGCAGAGTGGCATCAGTTGTATTGATTTGGGGTAACAAATTATCCCTAAACATTATGGCTTAAAGCAACAAGTATGAATTATCTCACAGTTTCTGTGGATGAGGAACTTGGGCGTGGCTTAGTGGAATAGTTCTGGCTCAGGGTCTCTCAGGAGGTTACAGTCAAGCTGTCAGCCAGGGCTGCAGTCATCTGAAGGCTTGACGGGGGCTGGAAGGTCCACTTCCAAGATGGGTCATTCACACGGCTGTTGGCAGGAGGTCTCAGCTCCTTGCCATGGGGGCCTCTCCAAAGGGCTCCTTAAATGTCCTCACGACACGGTAGTTGGCTTCCACCAGAGTGAGTGATTCAAGAGAGCAAGAAGCCACAATGTCTTTTTGACCCAATTTCAAAAGTGACGCTCATTTCTCTAATGTCTTCATTTATTATTTAATTCTACTATCATCCTTTCTCTAATATCTTATTGGTTACACATGTCAGCTCTATTCAGTGTGGGCCCTCGCCCTTTGACCATACAAGGGCGTGAATACCAGCAGGAGGAGACCATTGAGGTCATCTCTGAGGCTGGCTACCAAATCAGGGAATGTCTGTTGAGTGAGTGATCCAGGACAACACAGCCTGGGGCCATGGGGAGTTAGTCTGGGAGCTTCCTGCTCCAGGTGGGATCTTGTCAGCCACACTTCTGCCTCCTCCTTGACACAGCACTGTACAATCCTGGCCCACAGTAGACACTTGGCAAATGCTTCCTCAGTGAGGGCTGGAGGCTGTTTCCTCTGCTCCCGACTGCAGACAGGAGAAGGTCTGGGCTCCTTGGTCTGGTATGTGAAGTCTTGGATGCCCTGATGTCTCCAAGCCCACTCCTTGTTACCCCTCCAGCTATATGAAGCCACTCTTGCTCCCTGTGCCTGATGGAGCCTTCCAGCATCCAGGTCTCCTGCTCCCTCCTGATTGCCACAACCCTTGTGTGCCCCCTCCTTCATTCTCTAAGCACTGCCAGCATCCCAGCTGGTTAGATTCCAGCCCAGCAGCACTTGCTGCCCGGGCTGGGCATTTCTCTTCGGAGTTTAAACTTTCTTTGGCAGAGGAACCCTTGTCCATGCATCTTATGCCGGAGCCCAATATCAAACAAGCCAAAGTAGAGTTGCCCTAGAGGACCCAGGAACTCCCTCACTCCTGAGGCACTTCTGCCAAATTTCCCAGGAACCTCATTTGAAAACCACAGATCTAGTTCAATCCTTATCATACATACAAGGAAAGTGAAATCCAAAAAGAAGGAAGAACCGAGATGACCGTCTTAGTCCATTCAGGCTGCTATAACAAAATTCCACAGACTGGGTAGCTTACCAACGATGGAAATTTATTTCTCAGTTCTGGAGGCTGAAGTCTGAGATCCGGGTGCCACGGTCTTGGGTGAGAGCCCTCTTCTGGGTTACCCACTTCGTTGTGGCCTTATGTGGCGGAAGGGGTGAGCTAGCTCTCTGGGGCCTCATGTATAAGGGCACTAATCCCATTCATGAGGGCTCCACTCTCATGACCTCATCACCTAATTAACTCCCAAAGGCCCCATCTCCTAGTACCATCACTTTGGGCATCAGGTTTTCAACACTTAATTTTGAGGGGACACAAACATTCAGACCATGGCAATGATATTGCACACAGAGGAAGCAGCAGGGCTAGGACTTCATCTCCTAATTCTTGGGATTCTGCGGTTTCCTGCTCCCCACTCTGCAGTGAAGAGCAGAGCTAGGGTTTGAAGTCACGGGATGTGCAGAGT